TTGGGGTTCAAATATTTATGAGGGATTAGCCCCAACTATGGATTGTTGAGTTGTTATATTCATTATCCAAATGAACCCTAATGCTTACTCTAGACTTGCTACCTAGAATTATGATTATGGAGTGACTAATCTAATAGCCATCTTCCTGAAATCATTTGGCTAAACTCAGACTCTATTAAGGCACGATGCGACAGCTGGTCTGATAGAAATTCTCGGGTGAACACAGGTTCAATCCGATCTGATACTTTATATCGATCGATACTCCTCTAGAGTTATCGATCGACGACAGCTTATATCGATCGACACTGCGATAGCAACATCGATCGATGCAGTTGGAAATCAGATCAATGAACGAGTCTAACTAGCGACAGCTATAGATTTGTCTAAGGGTTGAAGTTCTCATATATTTGCAAGCAATTCGTTAAGACATCCATAGATTTATAATCCTGATTTTTCTGAATAGTAACCTTGAATCTAACTATTTCTTTTCATTGTTTTTAAACCAAAACTTATTTTCCTTAGCGACTTACCATTGCTACTTATTTTATTTACTGTTTTAAACATTTTTCAACCTAGCTTAATCACTTAGGATTATATCTTTTGTAACTCTAGTTCTTTGTGGATTCGATCCCTAAGTACTACGACTGAACCTCTTATTTGAGAGAGTAAATCACTCCTTAGGTTAAACATTTGAGTGACATCAATAAAAAATCAAAATATTCTAGGTTTACGTATGAAGATGGCAGCAGATATCCTCAATGAAGGAGGAAATACTGAGATGAACAAAATTTTGTCAAATTGTACTTGTGTTTGTTATTTTTTACTTGACTTAAGTTGTTTAATTTTATTAAGTATTTGTCTTTATAACCCAGCCATGTCGTAGCTGTATAACTCAGCTATACCCCCAAACATACCCTAAAATTGAAAATGTTCATATAACTCAACCGAAAGGTTATATGTTACTCAGATGTATCTATCTAAATAATTCCGCCATACCCCAAACATACCCTAAAATAAAAAAATGTTTATATAACACAGTCGTATCAATTATAGTATAAGTCAGCCATTACGCTATTATAACTCAGCCATCCATCAAACTTTCCTAGAATAAAAAAAAATGAAATGTTTATACTTTAAATGTTATATTGAAACTCCAATTATAAAAATTCTAAAGCAGATTTCATCCTCTTTTTTTTTAGGTTTTCCTGGCTGTTGACGAATAGTCGGGGAAGCACGGTTGGTTAGCCACGATTTCTGGAATAGGTTGCGCTGAGTTAACCGGCATGACCGATTCAGCGTATGCACTCACCAAATAAGCACAATTATAGTAAGGACTGCAGACGGATGTACGACAATACTCCGCAGAACAGTTATAGTAAGGAATGCAGAAGGATGTTTTAAGAACTATAAAGACTGTTTTATGACTTTTAAATGCTGACTTATTTTTACTGTTACGACTGACTTACACGTAGTATTTTCTCCACACCATGCGTAAGCGTGGTTGGCTGCAATCTGGCATTCTCTCTCCGTTCAGCAAACCATCTGGTCAACATAACCCGTAACGCTTTTAATATTCGAACAATGTTAAGATCTCTAGCATTCGAGAATGCTTTGTTCATTGATTCCATTATGTTTGTAGTCATCAAATTGTATCTATGGCCTGGGAAATAAACACACGTCCACAGTCGGACATCAGCTCTTTTGAGGTAGCCGTGGAGTGCAGGATTAATTGCTTCAATCTCCTCGAAAATCGTAGTAAAGTCAGACATCCTAAAATATCTCGCCTCTTTCTTCACCAGACGAAATACATATTTTCTTTGTACCATCCCAATATGTACTTATATAAATGGTAGGTGTATATTCCCCGAGAAGCTAAAGGATACACATTTCTAATTTCTTTCCATATCATGTTATGCCTATCCAAGATTATCGTAACACCCTCGTCGTCAGGAATCAATATTTGTAGTTGCGTAAAAAATAATGCCACGAATCATCATTTTCAGTGTCAACCACTGCATAGGCTATAGGAAAAATCTGAAAGTTACCATCTTGAGCTAGTGCTGTGAGTAGCGTCCCTTTGTATTTACCATTAAGAAACGTACCATCGACAACAACAACTTTGCACATGAAAGGAAACTCATTTATGCTTGCACCAAACGCAAGAAACACATACATGAATCTCCAAACCTCATCCTTTGAAGATGCGTAACTGTACTCGAATTTACCTTCTTATCATGTATAAGTAAGAAGGTAAGCTTTCAAACCCAAACTCAGGTGTTTCCTCATCGATTTTCCTTGCAAATTTTAGCGTCTGGTGTGATTTTCAATAATCCATATGTTCATTATTAAAAAGGATACACATAACTAAGCCGCATCATATAATTAAGACAACCATAACGTAAAATAACTCCGTCGCATCTAACATATAATAACCCAGCCGCATTGTATAAATATGTCAGCCGCTACGTTTCATATTACGCAGCCGTATAGTTAACATAACTCAGCCACAATGAAATCATTACATTTACACCAAAATGCTTACTGATAGCTATTCTGACACTCGTAGGTGAACAGCCAGGCCAACGTTGCCGAGAAAATTCTTGTACAACTCTCTTAAAATATCTGGTGTTGCTTGTCGAGATTGATTATGACGCACAGTTACAGAACATGTATGAATTGAATCGTAGATACGAATATAAAACGCCGGGGACTCCCCTTGGGTAGAAGCACGAACTCTCCAGAAACATCCATCAATCCAGCACTTAATAACGTATGATGTCGGGGTTGATGTTTCTACATCAAAATCAAATCGCTTTTTCACTGTAAGAAGTTTCAGTTGTCTCTCCAAATCTTCTTTACTCTCGTATCGTTGCCCTACTGCAAGGTCCATCGACGACATCTCCAACCTTAGAACCTCCAGATTCCCTTTAGATCCGCTCATCGAGAAGTTTTGATATCTTTTCTTGGGAGGTAGTGTTGGTGAATCTTCGTCTTCTGTAGGAGAATCACCGTATGAGCTGGAGTTATCATCTTCAGATGACACACCGTCCGAGTCGTCAAACATATCAAATCGGCTTTCAAATTCATCATCTTCTTCATTTTCTTTGCCTATTTCATCTTCTCCGACTAAGTCGCGTTTTTCTCCTTCCAGGTTACTAGAACAATCACTCTCATTGTCTTCTTGTTCCTTCTCCAAACTGAAACCATCGTAACTCCCACTGTAATTTCCGTTTCTGGACACATTTTCTGAAGCTTCTACTTTTGAGCTAAAACCGAAACATGTTTTACTATTCTCTCTTGCTCTATTGTCCTTATTCTCTGTAATCTCCACACACAGACGTAGTTGTTCAACTTTTTAGGGTTCGGAAACCTTGGAATTATCGAGTATTGTCCACGTAAAATGGTGGAGTGTCGTGCGCCATTGTTTTCAATGATTTATACAAGAACATGTAGCTAAGCTGAAAATGATCCCTCAAAGCATTGAATCCATAATCATCGAGAACAGACTTTGCGAAATCTTCATTGTTGTTTTCTCATCTAAATGAAGAACTCTACACCCTCTACTATCGATGTTGAATACATATATGTTTTTCTTAACCCAATTACCGGAAAAAATAATTACCGGATCCATAACCAACTGAGAAAGATGAAGATGATAGATAACTATGATGAATAAGAACATGAACAGTCTCATAAACCAATTTTGTAAATTTCGTTCGTTAGTGATGACGTGATAAATCCGAGTTGATGACATGGCGGATGACATGGAAAATCAGTTTTTCAGCCGACAAAAAAATTTATAACTCAGCCATAGTAAACCAGCCATTATCTTCAGTGTAAGTCAGCCGAACCGTGGATACTATTTTAATAGTTAATCTTTTGCTAATAAATCAGCCATAATTGGGATGAAAACTCATAAGTCAGCCATATCATCACATAAATCAGCCACCAAACGAATTTATTATAGTAATTAATCTTTCGCTAATAAGTCAGCCGTAAATAAGCTGACTTTACTATTAATTCATCCTATTACGGCATATTAAATATAAACTCAGCCTTAACAACATCCCATTGTTGGCCATAAATTCAATAACACAGCTCGTCGATGTTCATTAACTCAGCCAGCGAAATATAACTCAGCTATTTCTTAACTACAACTCAGCTGAATATTCAAGAAAGCAAACCGCCGATGTATAAGCCATCCGTAACTTGTGTCCGTAAGTCATCCGTTATCCCATAAATCAGCCAGGTTTATGTAAATCAGCCGTATCGAGAGGCTAAATTATGATATTAAGTTAGCCATTTTCTCTATGAAATAAATTCAGCTGAAACGTAGAAATAAATCATCAGTAATGATGTATGTTGCGCTTTACGGCTTATTTAATGAGAACATGGAACCAAATTCCTATGTGGCGCTAGGTTTTTGTTTACGTGGCAGCGAAAAGTAATGACATTCTTGTAAATACGTTTTTCTAATAACGTAAAAAAAAGGGGAAGTTTGATATTTAAAAACTACCAATAATAAAAAGAATTGTAAAGTTCTAGTCAATTGTCCTAGGATATGTTATGTTTGAGTAAACTTCTCATAACTAAATGGAAAAATTTATAATCAAGGGTGAGATTTATAGAAGGTAACATAGTAGTTACCATAAATATAGGAGTGGCACATTTATAACATCTAAAGAAATTCAGAGAAATTTATGAAAATATATTGTTCGGGAAATTTAAGTAGGACCATGAAATTATTAACTCTTAGAAAACAATCTAAACAATTTTTTATAAGTAGATTTTTCAAGATTGCTTCCCTTTTATTAGTATAGATTCAACTCAAATTTTATTTAGTCTTGACTCTAGATACGGAATGGAATATCACTCTTTTAGAAACAAATCAGTATTATAAAGGTATCTTTTACCAGCCATTTATACTTATCCTCTCTTTACCTTCTATATATCATATATTTTTGCACTCTCTTGAGCTATCAACACCATCACCAAAACAAATGGCGTCTAAAGCGTGCACTCTCTTGTTCATTTCACTCACTCTTACATGTAAGTCTATTCTCATCTCTGAATCCTTGATTTACAAACTAAATCTTATTAGTCAATTTGGTTTATTGATGTGTTGATATTAGGTATGAGATCAGTGAGCATACCTAAAGCCGAAGCAAAGTACATAAGGTACCATAGCTGCCATACTGTAAAAGACTGCATTAAAGATATAGATTGTCTGATTGCACCGGTTCAATGTTTAGACTCACGGTGTACGTGTATACTACCAGACCCAAGCAGAGAAAACCTTAACCTCAAACCAGCAGAGACGCCAATTGTAATATGGTGCAAGTCACCAGATGATTGTGAAGATAAGCTCGTTTGCATTTCCGGAAATTTAGTCTGTAAAAATTCACAATGTCACTGCTTAGATGGTTAAAATTTTAAAAAAATTCAAAAGTATTATGTTGTTGTTTTTTTGGGGGTTCAAAAGTGTTATGTTGTTTTTCTGTGTGTGCTGGTATGAATAAAAATATTTTATATAGATGGTATGAACAATATGGAAAAAATATAGACACTGATACAAAGTACTCGTTTAAAGTTGAAAGATAAAAATGAATATATATATATATATATATATATATTGCTAACTATATTTTTTTTAACCTATCAAATTACAAATTGGCTTACATAAGATATATAAGTTTAATGATAATTTTAGCTATCCAAATTTCTTGAATATGTTCCTATCCTCCGATTTCAAATTTTTGTAATCAGAAATATTTTAAATTTAATTTAATATTTTAATATATAATTCATTTTTCGTTCTGTCGATGTTAGTCACGCCTTCTCAAATGAACATGTGTAATTAGAATTTAGAACTGCGGCCTGAACCAACTAATAAGGTTTTGATACCAATATTAATATCTCCAACTTTATTCTATATTTTTGATTTTCTAATATAAAATCCCTTATATATTAAATGAGAAGTATTGCATTTAATGCATTCACATTACCTTGACCACGTGGCACTCTCACATTAATTTGAAAACAAAGAAGCCGACGTCTCACCTTAATAGAGCTTCTCAGAAAATCTCTACAAAAAATTCTTTTTTTTTCTTAGACTAAACACAAGGATGTTTTAGGCTCATATCGACGTGATGCAAAGTTAATTGTGTCTATACAAACCATGTTTTGAGAAGCATAAATGTTCATAACGATACAATTGATGTAAAGTCATTGCTAATAGGAGAAGATGATGCAAAGACAACATAATAAATCTATCATTGGCGCATAGAAATTATTTGTAACTGTCAAGAAAAAATAGAAGTTGATGGTGAAATAATGTAGAACAGATGACTTGCTTCATCTACTGCTAATAGTGAAAACGTAAATAATGCCATCAGGAAAAAGAGATGTTGATGCAAAGCCAATTTGATAAATCTATTCTTGGTGCATCAAAGTTCTTTGCATCGTGTTAGGCAAAAGAATCAAACTATATAACTTGCGCCTTACAACTAAACCTTATAATAATAACCTGAGAACTACATAAGCAACAAGCTGAGAAGATTATGACATGGGAAATTATCCAATCTATCAAGGTAGCATAGACTATCTTAATCTAGCATGGCATAGAGTTCTTTATACACTTGATATCATTTTTATTTTTTATTATAGCAAAAAAGAGCTATGATGGTAAAAGCAAATGACACAGTAACGGTTTTTACTACACTATAACATTTGCAAACAGTCTATAGAAGATAGACTTATGTTTTTGCGTAGAAAATCTCACATCAATCATTGGCATTGCTTATAACGCTAATCGATAAAACCGTACACTGTTTTTGAAGACAGCCTCAGATGCATGTAAGAAGTGAGAATGCATTAATATACAGCCGACGAAGAACACAATGTTTGTGTCATATTGTATGATCTTTAACGCAGGTTTATGTTGATGTTAAACATATTGCTGTTTTTATGACCTTATGTATTCAAGCACATACGTTTCGTTTTGAAGAGAACGAAAAGGAGAAATTGTCGTACATAAGAATTATAATATTATGATTAAGAATATTAAACCGATAGCAATTGTACGCATACCGAATTAAACCGTCTTCGTGTAGGTTTGGGACTATTTAATTTTCTTGAGTGTTTGGCAAGGTTAGTTAATGATACTAAATGGTATATTTCACATTTTTAGGGTATGAAAGTGTATATATATTGAGGAGTGATTGCCAAGGTAAGAATATATGTCATCGAGATTTTTCGGAGATACAATGTGAATTTAATGCTCGCTATAGTAAACCTATATAATAATCACTTTTCATATTCATTTATTCATTCCCTAAACCCGATAATTGTTGAAGAAAAACAAAAGAAAATTATAAAGACAAATAGTTTCAATTCAATTTGGTTAATGGTGAAAAGAAGATTTAAAAATAAAAGTATTCTTTATTATGTCTGAATTTGAATCCTCACTTGCGATGAATGTTTCGTTATATAGGTACTCACTTCAAAGTGCATATATATGTGTATGTAAAAATCTAAAAAAAGGTTTTCGTAAATATTAAGATACCGTTAATTAGTATTGAAAGAAATGTTTGTTCAATATAACAGAAAGATAAAAAATTTAAAGAAAATTAATTAAAATAAAATAGACTTAATCACCAAATAGTTTTTTATATATTGAAAATCAAATTGTATACAACTTAGTTCATTGGGCAAAGCATCACAACACCTAACTCAGGTTGTCGAGAGAGATCCAATTTTATGTAGATGTACAGTTGTTCGGTATAGACCGCATGAAGGATTTGAGTGAAAAGTTGATTAGAATCGTAGAACTGCCTTGTGAGAGAAGTGAATCAAACTGATTCATCAGATCCTTTTTGACAGACACATTAATTTTAACATCCTAAAAAATAAAATAAAAAGTATTGAAACTTAGACAATAATAAATAAAGCATATGAAAGTTATAAAATTCAGTAACATGAGGAGTAAAGGATGCATACATTAGCGTCAATCAAAACCATCTCCATCAATTATTTCCCCCGTCTAATCGTACAAATGGCGGACAACAACATCCATTGTCCTTCTGTGAGTTATTGTCTCTATATCTCTATTTACGTAAATCTTAAATAAAACTGAACCAATCAATTTTTTTTACATCAAAAGGTCATAAATCAAATTATTTATTTAATTAACATGTAGGTGCGTTCGTATTGCCTGTAACCAACGTACCAAAAGCAGAAAGTCGTAGCTCGTTACCAGAATGCGGAAATAAAGAAGGATGCGACGGCATATGGTGTAGTGACAACAGATATGCAGGACAAGGAACATGTCAGACGTGGGCATGTGACTTACTTGAAAATTGTAAAAAGATTGTTATTTGCAAAGGATTACCAGAGCCTTATTGTATGGAAGGATATGCACTTGTTAAAGAAAAACGCATGGTTTTGTCAATGTCCAATCCAGATTTAGGTTATGTTTCGGTTCAGTTTTTTTAGTTTAATATTTATCAAATTAAAATCAGATCTACTTTGGTTTGGTTCGGTTTATATACCGCCGTTTTTCGGTTTATTCAGTTTCATACCAAAAAAATCATAAATATATTTATCTTTTGTAACATTTTATGAATTTTACTTTATATGATTAGATATCGGCTTTAATAAAATATAAATAGTTTTGATTTTTAAATAGATTATTTTTCTTTTACTATTTCAATAATTAGTAAATATATTAAGTTAATAATAATAGTTTTTATAAAATAAAAATAAGAAAAAATATTAATCGGTGATATTATTAAATAACTAAATATTAGTACACATTTTTGTTAAGGGAAACTTTTGACAAAATGAAAAAAGGGGAATAGCCAAAACCAACCCAAATATTCATTTTAACCCTAAAGGTGTACCACATATTCAATCAATTGCAAACCCAACCTAAATGAGTGTTAAAACTAATATTTAACCCTTATGAACAAACAAAAAACGCGAAATATATTTTACGATTCTGTCCTTCGGAGGTATACACTTTAAGAAAGAAGTCTACAACTAGATAGACTTACATTAACGTCTACTGTGTAGACTAATGTAGACTTATTATTTAGTCTACTTCTTAATTTAATCAAATAATTTAATTTTAAAAATGTAGAAAAAAAAATTTTGGTAATTTTTTTAATAAATCATCAATTTAAAGGTTATTATGAGGTATATAAATTAAATTTTCATATAATTGAACAATTTAAAAGAATGTATATTGATTTGGGAACTATGTGGTACACAATGTTAATGGTTTAGCAACCAAAGGTTCTAACATGTTATGTCTTTTAGAGTTAGATTCTTATGATTAGATTCAAAATTGCATATTTAATGATTCAAAATTGCATATTTAATGTTGAGTAGTTTATATTTTGTATATATGATATTTGGTACAATGACTAAGATTTTTTTTTATATTCAATCAAACGTTTAGGGTTTGAGATTTGGGGTTTAGGGTTTGAGATTTGGGGTTTAGGGTTTGAGATTTTTGGTTTAGGGTATAGTAGACTTCCAGTTAAGTGTACTTATATGTAGACGTCTATTTCAGTCTACGTTAATTTGTGTTTACCAAAATAAATTATTTAAAAATTAAAATTAACTAAGCAGGAATTGAAAATGAATTTTTGGAACCTATTTTTCCACATTGGCGCCAATATTTAGGGTATAGTAGACTTACAGTAAAATATACTTATATGAAGACGTCTATTTCAGTCTACATTAATTGGTGTTTATAAAAAAAAGATTTTAAAATTAAAATTAACTAAGCGGGAAGCGAAATTGAATTTTGAAGCCTCTTTTTCCCTATTGGCGCCAATACTTACGGTAAAGTCTACTTCGATAGTAGACGTCTCTTTTAGTCTACTATAATTGGTGATTACAAAAAAAAAATATTTTAAAATTAAATTTATTTATTTATGAATTAAAATGTGAATTAAAATTTTATCAACAAAAATATATACTAAGTCTACTAAATATATAATGAAAAGAAAAATTTTAGATTATATATTATAAACTATTTAAACAATAAAGAAAAATATTATATTAGACTTTTTTGGAAGTCTACCTAACATAAAGTTTTAACCAAAATAATTTTAACCAAACCAAAATTAAATCAGAGAGTTTTAACCTAACCAGAAAAATGACTTGACATATAAATACTCTTTCTTATTAAAAAAAAAGGGGCGACAAAAAAAAAACAAGCTGCCTCTCTCTCTCTGTCTCTCTCTCGATTCCTCTCATCCTTCTTCTCCGATGTTCCCCGGCGAAAGCTTCAGATCTCAGGTAACTTTTCAATTCTCGCCTCCAAGCTTCAGATCTAAGTTTGAACTCGTTGAGATAACTTAGGGCTTTTCGTCATTGTTTCATTGTTTTATTGCAGTCACCTGAAACCTCAAGTTCTCTCTCTCTTATCCGTAGACCTCGAGCTCTCTCTCTTATCTGCAGACCCGAATCATTCTGAACACGAACGGTTCTCTCTCTCTCGAATCCTCATGTCTCTCATTAACTAGCTCGAAAAGGTCTCACCTTTAATCATCTAGCTTGGTTCTAATTAATTCTCATGATCTGTTTGACTTTGAGTAATATATCTTGTTACAAAGCTGGATAGTGTTTTTGATAAGGTAAACTTTTTAATCTGAGCTTAGCTTAGATGCCTCTTGTGATTGAGAAACTCTTGTACATTGCAAAGATACTCATGCTTGGAGGTTTGATTATGTACTTATCTCGCATTGTTCCTATGGCCTATTATCTATGCTCTAGTAGTTTTTTTGCATGTTGATGGTGTACTTGGTTAATCTTGAATATAGTGTCTTCAAATTTCAATCCTGAATTTTGTTGTATGCAATTGCTGTCATGTGTGTTATTAGCCATATGATCATCTTGTCTTGTGACAAATGTCACGAGGAAGTTTCCTGACTAGTTCCAGTTTCTTACTGCGATGTTTTTTTTGTGCAACTCCAGGATAAGAAATCATTGACTCTATCCCCAGATGACAAGTAGGATCGTGCAGGAAGAACAGACTTGTAAGTCTACTTTTTTTTTTTTTTTTTCTTATGTATGATTATTACACTGAATGTCATTTGACACTAGTATGGTTCTAGTACTATTTTTTCAATGAGCATCAGCACTAGCATGTCCACCATTAGCACTGGCTCAATGAGTTCAAATTATTGCTAATATTGTAAAGAGCATACAAGTAAATACGCGTACAATTAGCACACAGGTTTATAGCATGTCCACCATTAGCACTAGCTCAGTGAGCTCTCTGTTTCTTTATGTTGTTTAAGTTCAAATTTAATTAGTACTCTGTTTCTGTTTCTTGTTGTGTTATGGTTTCTCTGTTTCTGTTTTTTGTGTTTCAAGTCTAATCAAAATGTTTGTGTTTGTGTTTCTTGTTGGTGTTATTGTTCTCATTACTTGTTTCCTGTCCTTGTTTTTGTTCTCATCACTTGTTTCCTATCCTTTTATTGTTCTCATCACGTGTTTCCTTCCTCTCAGGTGATAAAAGAGTGAATGAGTGGAGCATTGGAAGTGCAATTACAGACTTACTTGTGTAGACTTGTGTAATCAATTTTTTTAAGAACCCTAAAATAAGAGACTGCTATTGGAGCCATAAAAAAGTGATGTCTCTTAGGTATGTCTTTTAAGTCACTTTTATTACTTAAAAATTATTAAGAGACCCAAAATGGGGCTGTGGGATAATCGTGCTCTTATGAAAGTTTTTTATTGGTTATCCCACTGTTTCTTGTCAAGTATAAAGTCAAGTATAGAAGTCTACATGACAGACAATTCTTGTTACTTATTAGTCTTCCTTCTTGTAAACTTACAAAGAAGTCTACTTGACAGAGAAAAATATAACATAAGTCTATCACATTAGACAATATCCAAAGAAACAATATAGTTTATAAGTTCAACACAGACTAAAGACCTACAAATCCAATAGAAGACAACTCAAAGCAATGAGACACTAATACATAATAGAACATCCATAGTAATAAGACAACTCATAAGTTCGACACATAACACTAACACATCTAGAGTTATTCACCATCCATTCTCTGTATACAATGAGTAATTGAGCCATCTCCTGCAAAAAAAAGTGATTTACATAATTAGCAAACAAAAAATTCATGTTTGATAAAATTATAAAATACACTTACAAGTATCTACAATTATTAGCAAACAATATAGTCAAACCAAAAATTTTAACGTAGACTTACAAGTACGTCTACAAAATTTAAGCTAACAACATAGAGACAAACCAAAAATGTGTTAACTTCATGATTATAACAGATTATCGAAAGAAAATCATTGAAGACCCTTATGATTAACTAACACACACTTTCACACAATTTTTTTTTTTAAAAAAACTTAATGAATAATACACAGATCCACTTTTTAATAGATTTTTCTATGTAGACTGTATATTCAGTCTAAATAAATGTAGACATTTTTTCAGTTTACATTTTGTAGACTGTCTTATAGGTCTACGTTTAGGTTGGTTTTTTCAATTGAAAATTCACGGGTTACTTTCTGTATTTGAAATTTTTTTTGTGATTTTATACAAGTAGACTTCCTTTTTAGTCTACTTTTTTAAAAATGTTAGTTTTGCAATTGACCCGAATTCGTTCAAAATTTGACTTTTAAAAGTAGACTTACAATTCAGTTTACATTTTTAAATTTGTTTGAAAGAGGTTAGTTTTGAAATTGACCAAGTTTGACTTTCTACAAGTAGACTAAACAAAACGTCTACAAATCCGTAGTCTGAAGTAAAAGTCTACACCATAACCCGATAGTTTAGTTTTGCATTTGACCAAAATAAAATAGTAGACTTAATATGCAGTCTACTTTTTTTCTCAGATTTGTAGACTGAATATGGAGTCTACACGTAAAATTAAGTTTCGGTAAATTTCAAAACATTTTAGTCAAATACAAAATTAACCTATTTAACGAAGTCAAAGATTTGGTCAAATGCAAAACTGACCTTTAGTAGACTTCCCTAGCAGTCTACAAAATGTAGACTTACATGGTAGTCTACTATGGAAAGTCAAAATTTTGGTCAAATGCAAAACTAACATCTTTTATGTAGACGTACTTGTAAGTCTACCAGTTTTTTTTTTTGTTTTTGGTTTCAAATGTAAAGACTAGACGTACTTGTAATCTGCATTACAAAAGAAATTAATTTGGTCAATTGCAAAAGTAACATGTGCGTTGAAAAGTAGACCGCTTTGTAAGTCTACAAATTTGTGTAGACATACAACACAATCTACTATCACGACACATATCTGAAATATGACGAAAATCATGTGAATAGTTACCTTTTTCCGGTGTAAAACTTGTTTCCAAGCTTTTTCCACCGTCTAGAACCCACATATGAGCAAAAGCACCACCTTTTACGATTCACTTCTAAAGAAACTCGAAAATATGAAGTTTGTGCTCATGAAAATGAGAGTTATGGGGGGGGGGGGTTTAGATGACAAATGGAGAGAAAATGAGAGAAAATGAGAGAAAATGAAGAATAGTTTGTTTAGAAAGTGGAAAAAGTGGTTATACATTCATATCTTGAGCTTTAAGAGCTCATCAATGGTGGTTCATGGTGGTTGGAGATATTGATGATAATGGCATTGTTGTAAATAAGGAGAAATGTTTAGGGTATAATAAGTTTTTTGGCATTTTCGAAATTAATAAAATATTATATAATAACGGCAATTTTGTAAATAGTTGAAAAATATGAGGAGGGTTTGGCCTTTTTAATGATGAATAGTAATGACAAAAAAAGAGGTTGGTTTTGTGTTTGACTTGAATTTTTAGGTTAGTTTTGCAAAAAGCCCATGAACAATAACTTTTGAATTAGAAAAATTAAACTACTAAAATCAACATTTTAAATATGAAAATAATATCAATAAGGTAAATTATGTATATATTATTAATTGTATTGTAAAATTTACATATAATTTTACTAATATATCTTAATGAATTGATTTATTCGGTTTCTTCGATTTATATACCAAATAATGTTCATATACCATTTTTTAAAAAAATAACATTTATTTTGTATATTTTGGATTATCAAATCTCAAATATTTTTTCTATTTCGTTTTGGTTCATTTTTATAAGATTGAACACCCGTAGATGCAGGTATAAGATGCCTTGCTATTGTACTAGAACAACTTGTTAACGGATACAGATTTCAGATTGTTTTGTTGGCCAACAACGATAGTTTTTGTTGTTATTATGAACGCAACTGCAAGTCAAAATATTATCCATTATCCTCTTTATTAGGGAAATTGACAGAAATAACACTTTTAAGATACCACTTTTCAACTTTACACTAACCAATTTTACCATTAAATTTTAATAGTCAAAATACTAATAGAATTTAGGGTTTATGATTGATAGTTTAGGGTTTAGTGTTGATTTTTTAGGGTTTAGAGTTTAGGGTTTAAGGTTTAGAATTGATATTTTAGGGTTTAGAGTTGATTTTTAGGGTTTACGGTTTACTTTTTAGGGTCTAGAGTTTAGAATTGATGTTTTAGGGTTTAGGGTTAATATTTTATTTAATATTTATTATATATATATATATATATATAAAGAACAAGTTGTACCACCAAAGTGGTATAAAATGTGTATTTTTGAAAATGTTCCTTTGTTGATGGTAAACATGAAAAGTGGTACCACCAAAGTGGTACCACCAAAGTGGTACCACCAAAGTGGTACCACCAAAGTGGTATAATTGAAATTCTTCCTTTCTATTAATGTTAATATGTAATTATTTACTCCTATTTTGGAAAATCAGTTTTTTTTCTGTCATAAAAATAAAATATTATCAGGAAAGTAAACAATTGTGATGTAAAATCAAGTTATATATAAACGATATTACAAATATGATATAAAAATCAACCAAAAATGGAAAAATGATCATCCTTTTTCTGACTATTTAACCAATCACAGCAATATGCACTTATGTATTAATTAATTTGGATTCAGAAATACATGCAGTAAAACCTTTATAAATTAATAACGTTGGAATTTTGAGATTTTATTAATTTATAGAGTCATTAATTTACACAGAACATTTTATTTAGATTTTTGCATTTAGCAATATATTATTATATTTTTGGGCAACAAGATATATTTATTCTAAGATAAAAAATGTTTAATTTTAATGTATAGACATTAGTTTTTATTATTATTATTGAAATTTTATATTTAGATTAATTATATTATATTATTTGTTGTATATAATATATATTACATAGAATTTAAATGTGATTTAAGATATATATGACTAAATCTCATCAAAAATCTATTAAGTACATAATTCCATTGTGAATAGAAAATAAATAATATAATGATAGGTTGTTACTTATATAGAATATGTATACATAGAAATTTTTAATTTTTAATTTTAATGAGACCATATATTTACATAGAATTTTCTTAAAGATATTATCTGATTATTTTATCGATTTGTGTCAAATTTTAACCGATTCAAGTTAGACCAAAAATATTTATTAATTTATCGAATATTAATTTATAGAGGTTATACTGTATTGTTGAGTGGTTAATCATGATAACGATCATTATTTTTCCTTATGTAAAGATAAGATGGACCTTAACCATTTTTAGATGTTTACCTAAAATTTTTTCTTATTACTTTATTCGTTTCTTCATCTACTTTATTAGTATAATCTGTGATTTCTTTCTTTGTATACTTAAAAGAACAAGATTATATTAAATAACTAACTAACTAAATTAAAAATGGTAGATCGGTGGAGTGGTGATCTTTTATTTGATATATAATGGTAATGATATATATTTGTTTTAGTCAAAATATATATTTATGCAATAAGTTGTAAGTAAAATAAATATGGGCTGAATTATTTATATATTTTATTTTTTGGTAAATATATTTTACTTTCTGGTAAAGATATATTTATGTTCTTTGATATTATGTGTGAAATAACGATTAAACCTTATAGGCAATAAGTTGTAAGTAAAATAAATATGGGCAGAATTCTTTTTTTTTGTTTTATCAACAACTGAATTCTTTATTTAATGCAAAAAATCCATATTTTGGGTAAATTAAAATATTGATATCAGATTCAAAAGTAAAAAGAACTATATAAATACTAGATAGCGAAGTTATGGAGATGTAAGTCTGATGTATACTTAATCACAAGACAATGGTATCAAAAGCAATTTCCGTCTTCCTGAATCTCTCGCTCTTTCTTCTTTGTATGACTCTAAATCTCGCACAAGTATTTTACTTAAACGAGTTCTGTTTATTACCTAGCATATCTTATATGTGAATAATGTTTATTTTTCCTTAGGTGCATCGATAGCAAACATACCGACCGCAAAAGGTCGGCCTTTTATGTTTGATCCATGCAAGATAACAGAAGAATGTGATGATGCTAATTGCGCAAGCGGGGAACCTCTATGCATACGGGAACAATGCCACTGTATCAGTTCGTCAAATTCTCTTTCGAAGCTTAAAACACTAAATTATTTAAAGCCATTCAAGGTGAAGAGTGATATATAGATACAGGGATTATCATTTTCTTATGCGGCTGAAATGTGCCTTAGTGTCTTATTTGTGTGTTTGAAGGCCTTTTTTCTATATACTACAAGCATGCTTAGAGCTTGGGAGGATTTGTCATCTTGAAATAATAGCAAAAAAGATTCAGACAGGATTGTGTTTTGTTTGAACAGATGAAAAACTTCGCATCTACGATAATTGATATCTTTCAAACTAAAAAGATCTATGAGAATTATTATTTAAGACAGCAAGTAGAACCAGCTATGTCGCCAAGTGGATATATAATAGATTTGGAGGATGCGTTTTTAATTTTAATAGATTACACATTTACATATATACATACATCCAAATATCCAATATTAAAATTGTGCATGGTACTAGATTTAGCTTATATCAACAAAAGGTTTTAGAATCTATCTATAATAATAAAGTTGCTTTTTTTCTCTCCTTGGGGCGTTTTATTACGCGTGTCCATTTATAAACGTCAGCAAAATTGTTTTCTGCGTTATGTGTACTAGGCCATTTTCTGATTGGTGTTTTAATTCATAAAACCCTTCACTCCTTGAGTATACAGGCCCATTCTGTCTCCTGCTTCCTTTCAATATCTTCTGTAACAGCTGTTGTTACACCTCCGCCCAAAATCAGACCACCCACTAAGCTACAACTAATTATCACAACCATGGCCCTCAATTCTTCCAAAAATCTATAACAATAAATTAGTATATCGATCAACTTCAATGATTCTCATCCATAAAACCTACTCATTCCTCTTCTTCACTCCCAAACACATTATACAGAAATGACAACCTCCCATCTCTTGCTTTCCGATTTGAAACCCAGCTGTTGTTGTCGGACCATTGTCACCTCTCTTCTTCGTTTCTGTGATCCAAACCCAGCTAATGAGTGTTTGATGTGTTCCTCATCGATGAAAAGGTTGTGATCTTGTCATCGTAAGCCTCAAGTTATCAACTTTCCATTTTTTATCACTCTTCCTCCACTAGCTATGTCGGTTTAGTGTGGATGAGATATATGCAGACCTGGATATATGTGATTGTGCCAATTAACATTCTTAAGCTGATCTTTAATACCTTGCTTGGGTTGCCATAGGTAGTTGTTGGACAGACTCATTCCTTTGGTATCTGTTTTTGTTTCAGGTCGTGGAGCATGGTCTTGGACATTAAACAAGTTGTCATTCCCACAGGTATAGAAGAGAAAGTGTGAGATGTAACATATTTTATACACTTTCTTATATTCTTTTCTGTGGGAAGCTTGGAATGTTAAGAAAGGAGGAGAGCCGATTGGGTGTTGATCTGGTTTTCGTAGATGGAAAGGTTTGTAATTTTATAATTTGTTTCGTTCAAACACTTTTGCACCTGTGAAAAACCACCTGTTTACTGATTACGGTCTTATTCCAGTCAAGCATGATTCAGGGACGATAATTTACTCCAAACAAAACTAAAATATTTGACCACAGACAGAATCTGCTTATTCCCATGGCATTGTAGCACAACTTTTGATGGCTGTGAGGATGAGACTATATGGTGTTGGGACCAGGACATCATTATCAAGTAATTTTTTTTTCCATTATCACCTCTGGCTCCTGAATATGAATTTCTATTGCTTTTGGCTTATGTGTATACTGTATATATAGTTCTGATAGACATGAAACCTCCAAGGAGGTTTTCCACATATCTGCAATCTCTTCTTGAATACCTGAAGCTAGAATCAGCTCAATTCCTTACAATCTCACAAAAAGCTAATGAAACTTTAATAGGTATCTGATTTCGTGGAGTAGCATGTGATCCGCACTAAAAGAACCAGAACCTTGAGAGTAAAAGAAAGAAGGCAGGTATAGGAAGGAGCATTAAGTTGCTTAGAAAATGGCAATGCCTTTCAGGCAACCAAAAGCATATTTTAGCTGTCACCCTATAGTTTAAAAGGAACATACACAGACCAGTTGACAAAAACCCAAATATTCTTCAAGTTAATCTGGTAGGGCCAAAGCCAGGGGAGAGAACAAAAAGAAAAAGAATACAGAGTTGGAAGAGAATAGTAACTTCCATGAGTGTCCGCCATGATCGAAGAGAACATATTAATTTTTTAGCCGGTGAACTCGACAACGCCAAGTCTACCTCTGAATCCCTCTCTCCCTTTTCTTTTGCTCTTCATCTCTTCTTTACGTCTCTGAATTACAAAAATTCTTCACAATATATATCTCTTTGTTAATAGCTTTGTATAAATTAAGTTGTATTCACTTCCGTTAAAACATATAACTGATTCATACTTAAAACATATAACTGCTTTCATGTAATAACTTATATAGTTTCATAAACTTTAACTTTTTACTTTAGAGAACGAAAATTACTACTTAAAAAATAGGGAAAATTGCCAAAAAGGGACAAAATAACCATACTATTGTCCCCTTAGAACAAACTCAACTTTTGGCATGTTTGGACCTTCACTACCCTTTTAGTCTTTGAAAATCCATATTAATTTTTTTACAAGGTAAAAAATTATGGAAAAATAGTAAACTTGATGTAGATAAGCATGTTCATATAAGAAAAATATTTTTGTTTATAAAATGTCTTTAAATTGTAAATTCAAAAATGGAGTAAATGTGTTAGTATCTACGATCTACCATCTACGGCAGTGTAGAACATGTAATCTAACAGAAAGACAGCGTTCTAAACGGCTTAGGATGCACAATATACCAAAAATATATATAACTACGAGCTCAGAATATATAATCTACCGAAGTGTCTGTAATCTACGGTTTTGGTTGACTGTAAGTCCTAGAGATAAACAGTTATCTAGCTCGGTAGGAAGTAGATTCTTTACATTTTTTTTCTATCTACAATCGTGGTATACCATATCCTAGTTATTCGTTTACCTTCTACGTTGGTAGAATGTACATTCTGGAAAAAAAATAAACAAGATCCGAAAATCTAGCCAAAAACGGTTAACTAATATTCTGTAAATCTTTTTAATATCCTAATTTCCTTTTTTAAGTTTTCTTCCAAAAAAATTGAGAACCTCCTCTTCTCACACGATTTAGGGATTCATCGTGTGTGTTTTTATCTTCTCTTCTTGTTTCAATTCTCTTTGCCACAAAAAATATGAAGATTCACATCTACGCTTCATGTGGTTTGTGGAAATCGTCAATATACAGTGGATGGGAGTTTCTTGTCGATGAAGCAAAAGGAGGGAGGTTACTTACTTTGGACACAAGTTTAAGC